TTTACAAATTCAAGGTGCTCACGTGATTTGATGCACTTTACAGGTTAAGACCCGTTTTATTACAACATAGATCTTAATTATCGAGCAAGCTCATTAAAATCAGACCTTAGTTCTCGCTACCACTAAACAAAGATCTGAGGACATCCCATTACGGGTAACGTCAGCCGACCTTGCGCGAACTTTGACCGACCAGTAGAATGACCAATCAGAAGGCAGCTTTCTCGTGCTTTACGGCACTAATTTCAAATTGGCAACTACGCTTCGAAACATATTTTGACAAATTCTCGATTACAAATTTGAAACCTAAACAAAAAAAACATTCTGGAATGGCTGATAGATGGTGTAGATTGTATAGATTCAGTCGTTAAACCTGTAACTATCGTTCGGAATACCCCGTGTTAAAGTTTTCGAGGTTGTATGATTAGAAATCACATCCTGACTGTCATTTTCATGATCTGGTAAGCGATGCTCTCATTGGTCGGATGAAAGTTCGATCTGACGTGACCCCTAAGGGGATATCTTTAGATCTTTGTTTAGCGGTAGCGAGAACTAAGGTCTGCTTTTAATGAGATTGATTATCTAGAAGATCGTCTTGACTGGGCACCCCCATTTTGTTTGAATCAAATGCAAGTGATATGAGAGATGGAATCTGATTGGTCAATAGGAGGAACATAGAAGGGACATAACTCGTAACACCCAGTGATGGCACTACGATCAAGCCTGGAAATTCCAGCCTAGTTCGGCAAGGGTGGAAACTTGACTTCTATAGACAGTTAACACCCTTGCCTCGGGAAGATGGTGATTTAGCTGATGTCATCATTCAAGTTGTCATCTCAAACCTAACCACTTGTTGCTCTAGAGTGGATGTGGTCTTGGTAAGTCCTACACTAAAAGTGGAACAAGAGTTGTACTGGAGGTCAGAGACCAATAAACAGATTGACTGACAGTCAAGACATCAAACTACAAGACAGACAGATGCAATTCATTGGATTGAATGAGAACATGGCCAGTTTAGCAAGTTAGAAGTTTCAAACAATCTCATGTTAAGCTTAGACAAGGGAGGGAAACGGTCCTGAGTGGTGGATCTTATTGATCAGTGTTTCTCATCAACTCGCCAAGATGTTGCAAGTATGGCATCCAACCATGAAGAAGCTGACATTGGCATCAATCTTCACGTCATTTATTCTCAAACCTCATAATATCAATGCACTGTTGAGTTGAATAGACACTGATTTCATAAAACTACTGATTGCCTTCTACCAAATAAGCCTTGATGAAGACTGAAACATCTAAGGATCCCAGGTTCAAGGGGATTTCATCAAGGGTCTTTCAGATATTTGTTGCAGCCTAATGGCACTTAATGCCCTTACAGGATGTGACACAAGCCAGTTTTCAAGAATTTCAAGGAAATGTTAAGAGAAGAATCAAAAACTAATCATACATTTTAGCAGTGAACAGAACCCCACAACAGAGGAACGAGCGTGTGCAGAAGCTTTTGTTTGACAACTGTATGAACCTGGAACACATCTCACTTCCATTCACAGCCTGTGTTGATTATACTCCCAGAAAATGAAGAAACAAATGACAAATGACCACCAACGGAAGATGCCCTTTGTTTTCACTTAAAATAAGCTAACTATCAATCACTTGTCTGGAAACATTTCCATCCACCCAAAACAGTATTGCCATCACCCACTGACTGTGGATGGACAACTAAGATGGAAGTCTTCTGCCTCTATTCACAGCCAAAACTGCTGTTCCCGCAGCCGGTGTTTAACTTATAACTTGTTAATCAGGATGTCGCTGTCAGACAAGACAGTGCAAATGCACCAGATATGGACAAGACTGTAATGATGCTTGCAAATGTGCATCAGAAGAATACTGTCTCAACCCTAACAATGCTGATAGCAGTGAAAGTGATGTGGAATACACTTTTGTCACTGACTTTCCTACAAAATTCCTATTACTGGCCAACCTTGAGATCATAGAAATATGCACATTTGATGAAGTATAATTGCCTAAATTGTGAAAAAAAATGTTCTTAGAATATCTAGATAAGTTGCTGTGAACAAATGATTCTCTCAAAAATGTGTATAATATAACTTTATTACATTTGATTTGAAAAATGATCTGTTACAACTATGTTGGAAGTGATTTCTCTAGAGTTTATAATAGTTTCCGCATATTTGATCTTTGTATGACCTAACCAAGTGCCAACATGTATGAATGGACAGTATTACATGGTCTATGAAATATGGTAGTAAAACAAGTCTACCCTGAATGTTTAATGACTGTCATTTCTAACGCCTCTTTTGAGACTGGCTCCAAGACTATGATTGTTTCCACTTGATTAGGTGAGCTACGAAATCCCGTAACTCGTCAAATGACAAACCCACTGTGGAGGGAATGTAGGGGAAAAGGCGGCTGACCCAATGACTGGCTAGAGTCAACATGTTTGACACAGGCCAGAGTTCCAGCACCAGCCACAACCAAAGTAGCAAGTAAGTGGGTCACTACCAGCAATACAACTGAACTGTAGAGCATTGTAATCAGAAACATTTCAGTGTTTATCATATTTACCCGGTTGCAACTCTAAAATTAATGGCAGTGTGTGGTTGTATTACAACTTGTTCAGAAAAGCCTTGAAAAAGAAGTTATTTATGCAGACTCTTGCTACTTATAGTCTTAATGCCTCAGCTTCTTAAAATAGGCAACTGGTAAGAAGTAGCACGAACATGAGTGGAAAGGATATTGCAATGGTCATACGAAAAAAGGCTTTTCCAATTCTTATTTTGAAAATTGAATTGGAACCTCTGAACAAATTTCTCGTATCATCATGTGAAGTTTCAGCTTCATTGGTTCATTTGCTATGAGAAGATAAATACAGATCCCATGCTCACTTAAATTATGAGGACATAATTTTGCAACAACTTGGTGACAAACATCTATAGTGACTATATTTAAGACAAATTGGTTCATAGATGCTAGAAAAAATAAAAACATAGAAATTTTGCCACATTTTTTTTATGTTTGAGTGAAGTCTTAAACAAATCGAATCTTCTTATAGTCACTTCCATTCACAAAAATGTTTCAGCTTTCTAGACCTTGTGGTTCTTAAGAACAAGATTCTAATTGTTTTGAAAATTTGATGTGTTAAAATATAATCATAATAAAGAAAATAAAGATATCTTCATGCGAAGGAACATGCATGCTACATTTCAGCCTCATCAGTCAAGCAGTATCAGAGAAGATACTGCCCTGTAAAAGGTCTTTCTACTGCAAGAATCAGTGTGGGTCACAGGGTCATGTACATTTTCAGTAGTTCTCACAAGAAAGAGTCTCCTATTTGAAGGGCTGTTCTTTACCTTTGTCTTAATGACTGAAATAATAGGTCAAGGGAAAATTCTAGATGTGCATCTTTAAAAATGTCAAAATCACGCTGCGTTTTTTTTGTTAACCATGATGCATGTTACATTACATTTGCATAGCCATAACCAAGTTACACGATATGGAATCTGTACTTGGAAATGCATACAAGTTCTTTACACTTTAGAGAGATAGAGGGAAACCATTTATTGATTTAGATTTACCGAACTGCCCAAGCTATGGTGTTTTCAATTCATAACATCGAGTCTACGGTATGATAAGAAAACAAAACAGGTATAGGGGTGGTCTCAAAAACAAAACTGGGGCGTAAAAGGATTCAGACAGATTTGATACAGAGTGATTAGGCGTAAAGTGTACAAGCTTTATGAGCAGAAGGTAACCCTGACTTGTAGGAGAATTTGGGAGGAATTAAAGATACAATTAATGTTTCCCGGACTGCACTATTGCTCTCCAAGAGATGGGATTTCGATACACTGCGCATGGCGATGACCAAGCACTTTTCAGGGGAAAATATTCCATCCTGTCTATGAGGTCACATTATCTCCCAACCATTCATAACTATCACAGTCAGGGCGTCCAGATAGTTTACCTTGGTGAATCATTCCAGTGACTACATGTGGCTATCGGCAGATGGACGAAAAGCACCTATGGTACCATCAGGTAAAGGTAATCGTGTCATTGTTTTGCACGCTTCAACCCATAATAGCCAAGGGATGTTGAGATCTTTCAATATTTGTTCGTGAAACGTGTTCCGAGAGTACATAAGCACGCGTTCTGGTATTACACAATGTGTAATACAGCTGTATGTTTATTAAACGGGTGATCTCCTCACAGGCAAGTAATAAATGTTAAAATCTTACATTAAAGAAAGCAAAATATGAGGCAACAGACTTTTCAATTCACACTTTTATGTGGATTAAATCAGACTGCCACTGATCCAACAGTTCATCTATTTAACCTGGCTACTGAAAATATTAGATCTAGACTCAATCAATGCAACATCCTTCATAATTGCATTTAGCAAATAGAAGATGTTTCTCCTAATTGATTTACATATCTGACCAACCATGAGATAAGGGACCTTATGGGTGAAATTTCACATTTTGACTTTTTATTATATTTTAAAACTACAGCAACTTCGGAACACAAAAATACAATTCACAAGCTTCAATTCACATTTATTAAAGAGATACATGACATCACACATTGTCACTGAAGTAAGTTGACGTCAAACATCTTTATGACGTCGTAGCACAATTGTATCCTAGCACTGTTACAACCATTAATGTAAAAATTACTCTTAATGTAAAAGGGGCGGTCGGGTAGCCTAGTGGTTAAAGCGTTCGCTCGTCACGCCGAAGACCCGGGTTCGATTCCCGACATGGGTACAATGTGTGAAGCCCATTTCTGGTGTCCCCCGTCGTGATATTGCTGGAATATTGCTAAAAGCGGCGTAAAACCATACTCACTCACTTAATGTAAAATGTTTTACATTAAGAGTAACAACCCGCAACCCTTAATGTAAAAATAATTTTGTTTACATTAAGGGTAAATATCAAACATATCATTTCTGAAAAAGTAATGATTGCTTCTTCCTGGCATACCATACATACCTGATCAAACACTCTTGCAACAACATGTCTGTCCAGTATAGGAACATACTTTGAACGGTGAGGAACAAATGTGGGAGACAAAGCATCCAGGATAGTTAATCTTTTGGCCATAAGACTGTTCTTCTTCAACCACACCTTGGATGAAACATCATTGTCCCTGAAACAATAGCAACAGACTAACAAGAAAGTGTTTTCATTGCATGCAAAAGAGGAAGGAGCTCCATCCCAACCTACGCCCCAAAATGTTTCTCATCAGATACATGTACCCTGAACGACTTGAACTTCAGCAGTCAGGAGACAGCTGACCTCACCAATATATCTTTTAATATTCATCTATGATCCCTTATGTTGTATAATGTGGAACAACTTTTAAACACAAAGTCCCAACTCACGACCATTCTGATCTCAGCCCTCCACCTAAGTGTAACGGCCATAAAATTTCTGAGTCCCGTGATGGGATTCGAACCACGGACCTTCTGATCTGAGGTCGGACGCCTTGTCCACATGACCAAAGAGGTTAACCCCGTCAGCAAGCTGACAAGGTAAGGATGTCATCTGTGGGATGACTCCACGCCCTGCTACATACTCCCCCGTCAACAGAAGGCACGTCCCGGGCCGCATAGTAGGGTACTGAGGCTTATTTTGCTCAAATTTAATATGAACGTGCTCAGCCCCACGTTGGGCGCCAATGTAACGGCCATAAAATTTCCGAGTCCCGTGATGGGATTCGAACCACGGACCTTCTGATCTGAGGTCGGATGCCTTGTCCACATGACCAAAGAGGTTAACCCCGTCAGCAAGCTGACAAGGTAAGGATGTCATCTGTGGGATGACTCCACGCCCTGCTACATAAGGAATAACAGGCACAAAGTTTCAATGTCGAGTAAATGTTTCTCTAATTGTTAACAAACCTTTTTTAGGCTATGACCATGAGAAAGACCTTGACCCTTGACAGGGCAGATCAATGTGTCAAAACATTCCCAGTGCTATTATTGGAATGTTATCCCTGAAATGTTAAAGCAGCGAGAGCTTTAAAAAAAAGAGTATGTTACTGTCAGTATTTCTATATAAACATACTCTGCACAGACAATGAGGACTACCATAGTCTCTTGAGTGTATTGTGCAGCAACATATCATGCACACACCCCTCTAGGTGATTCAGTCATTTTCTTACAAAAAATCAACAAACTTTGGTCAAAACAAATTTCAAATTTTCAATAAAACATCGCCAGACATGATTTACCGTTTAAATTGTATTTTCTGTTCTGCTAGATTAAGATTACTGTGTGTATTTTCCAGTAAACTAAGCCGGAAACGGCAATCAGCTGTACACAAATTTTCTCCTGATCTGCCTGTGATTCGGTCTAAAATTACCCAACAATATCACTTCAAATTTTTTTGATACAATGATAGAAAGAAACTTAAGTCCAGATAAACAATGAACACTTTTAATAACCAGACAGTGTAATTACCTTAAAAAAGTTTGAGTACTTCAGTACAGATTTGTTGCCATGGTATTTTCATTGTTACATGCTCACGGTAATGTCTTTGCACGGGGGGGGGGGGAACTCATTAAAACTCTAAAGATTGATTCCATCATGACACATTTCCAAGCAAACACTACCAACTGATCCTGGAAGCAAAACAAGGCGAATCCAAACGAGTCATTAGGCCATAGAAATTGTCTCTTACAACCAGAGACAACAGTATTGTTGGAAATATCCTTTGATGACTGAGAATGATAAGGGAGGAAAAGGCGAAACTTGCCCCTCTAGAAAGTTTGCATCCTGGGGGAGAAAAATCTGAAGAGCATGGATAGGAAAAAGGAAACGTCTATTCCATATCTGTACCTACTTGAAGAAACAAAACCAGTATCTTCCACCATCTCTGCCCCTATGGCCCATCAAAAGAGCCCTGATTCATAGCCAAGAACTCTGGAACAGCTAGAGGCCGGAAAACTTTTCAATTTTTTATTGTACCTGACACCGCGTCTGGTGATCATGTTCAACAATTGGCTACGCCAACTGCCCGTCAAATAACTTGGATGCCAGCAACAGGACCTGAAACAGGGAATTTCGTATTTCTGGTGCTTGAGAATATCCTCTTAATGTATGGGACCCGTGAAGATCTGGGTTGGAATAGGTCCTCAACAACCCATGCTTGCTGTAAAAGGCGACTATGCTTGTCATAAGAGGCGACTAACGGGATCAGGTAATCAAGCTTGCTGACTTGGTTGATGCATGTCATGGATCCCAATTGCGTGGATCGATGCTAATGATATTAGTCACTGGTCTGGTCCAGACTTGATTATTTACAACCGCCCCCATATAGCTGGAATATTGCTGAGTGCGGTGTTAAACAACAAACTAACAAACCTACAAACTAAATGTATGGCCATGAATTCCAATAATGCATGCCAAACTGAGCCATCATGGCTTGTCATAACTAATGAATTCCGGGTTGACATCTCTTGCCAATGCGGCAGCAATGAAACAATACCCATAACCATTCAGTTGAGATAATAAACCATGTCAACCCAACAGAGATTAGCACTGTCAGGTGAAACCAAAGTCTCCTGTGTAAGAAACAGATTTTGGCCCATGGATGTTAGCCATAGACCGCAAGAGAACACCTAGTGGAGGAAGTATACTGTGTGCTGGTCTCAAATATAGGTAAACAAACACACACACACAGAAGATTAAAAGATTTTATTACGAGAGCATATGTATATGCACCTATGGCTATCACTTTTGATGAGAACAAAAGACAAATGGATGTGTTTAATGTAAGGCATACATTTAATATTAATTTCATATGGAAATCAAACAATAGTTATCATTGTTAATAGATGTTAAAGATGAAATGAATAGATGGTTTTTCCAGGCTTTGATTGCATATTGTATTGTTCTCATCTCTAGTTGACTTAAATGGAGCTTCATAAGGCCGCCAAAGCCACTGGATTGTTGAGTCCTCCATATGAGCTCCCAATCCCGGGTTGGATGGGTCCAGAAAAAGATGATAATGAAGTGTTTGAAATACCAATGGAAGGCCCTCCGTGATGTTCTCTCGGCAAGTCCACATCTGAGTTCCTCCATTAGACTTAATAGAGAATGGTCTTCTGACATCCAACCTGGATGAACTTACATAGTTCATCCATGCTCGTAAAGTCCAAAGTAGCAATGTTACCCTGAAAGTCCTGTAACAAAGTTAGGTTCATTAAAAAAGACCTCCACCAACTGAGGGTGTGGTTGGGTTAATCTGATACCTTGGATATGAGAAAACATTCCTTCAGTGGACAGATAAGCCCCTTATTTCGTTTTGTCTTGATCTGCTGATAGAAAATCGTACCCATGCAGATGCACTAGTTGAATGTGAGCAAAACTGATGATCGGAGCTTTGATTTGGGTGAATAGCCAGGGAGTGATGGAAATCCTGAATGGAAGCACTACAAACTTGTAGCGATGATTGTTGCTACAAATTGTAGGTCCTTTCTTAAACTCTGGATGAATGGGAACATGCAGAAAGGCATCTCCTGAAGATTTAGGCTGATCATCCAATCTCTGACCAAAAAGCCGTTCTAAGTTTTCAAAATGATGCCATCTGAAATTTCAGAGGCTGTGCAAAAAACCCTTCTTTAGACTTTCAGATCTATCATCTTTTTCATATCTGTTGTGTTCTTCTTGAGAACTAAATACAACTCAAGACAGAGATCTGTAGTTCTCAGTTCCTGATTCTACCATGTCATTGAAGAATGCCTGATTCTAATTGTTTAAAAAGGTTTCCTTTTTGCTGCAGAAACCTCTTTTAAATATATTAAGCCTTTTCACACAAAAAAGTGTGGGTATGCCTATACTCATAAACTACTTCTGCTTTCAAAATGCGCGACCACCTAAGCTAACTTTGCTAGACAGGACCTGGTATACTATCACGCTTGGTTGTCACCACTGTTGACAGTCTTAATAGTTGGCTTATCACCATAGACACCATCGACACAATAGTGCGGACACCATGTGTCAACAATTGACAAGCAGACACCTCCACTGTCACAGGCCACACCGAGGACCCTTTCTGACACCACGTCATCGCCGGGACCGTCTTCAGTGGGCAACACAGCACCAGCATTGGCGCCACCAGCAGTATGGAAGAGTCCTCTTTTCAGACGAGAGCTGTTACTGTATCTCAACAGCAGATGGCAGAGAGAGAGTTTGGTGATGCCATGGGGAACATTATTCGGATGCTTGTGTTGTTGAGAGAGACTCATGAGATGGTCCGAGCATCATGGTGTGGGGTGGAATTGGTCTTGCACAGAGGGTCCACCCTGTGGTCTTCCAGAACATCAGTCCAGGAAGAGGCAGTGGTGTCACAGCAGCTCGGTACATTGATCAAGTCTTGAGACCACACGTCATACCTCATTTGGCACATCGCCACAACCACGAGTTTCAGCGTGATAACGCCCGTGCCCAAACTACGAGAGCAACAAGAGACTTCCTCCAGCAGAATTGCATCAGAACCATGCATTTTCCTGCCCTCAGTCCTGATTTAAATCCCATTGAGCACCTGTTGGTCGAGATTCAAAGACGGCTGAATGACGTCCGACCAAGGCCGACAACTGCAGCTGAACTGCATCAGGCATTTCTCAGGGTGTGGGCTCAAGTGCCTATGGCCTTCATCAACCGCCTCATCCATTCTATGTATCGACATTGCATGGCAGTCATCAATGCACATAGCGGACACACGACTGACTTGTGATGCCATTTTCTCAGAGGCTAGTGTTGTGTTTCACTTTAAGAACATTTGACACTTTAATTTCAACCTTGATGATCAGTTTTGCCAAGTTTCATCTTTTTAATATGTCTCAAAGTACGTTGACAGTGTTTGGACAAATAAGGTTTCTCATATATCTATCCATGGTGATGTTTCTTTTGCCGTTCAGTATATATCAAACCCTAACCTGTAAAACACACACACACCCCTTAATTTGGAATTCCATTCGAATATCCTTTATCATGGTCATAATGAAAGTATGTCAGTCCAAATGTTTTATTGTACTTGTATATTTAAATTAAATACCTCTTAGTATAAGGTGGGTTCAGGTTTGTGCAAAATCATGTTTTTGCCATGAATATTAGCATTCATCAAAGGTTGTAACCCAAAACAGCTGTTAGTATTCCCTATGAATATTCACAATGAAATACTCATTTATTAATAATGCCAATGAAACACAGAGTTGCAACAGACTAGTTATTGTGATGATATTGGGTAACAACTAAAACTATACATACAGCACATATATGGACACAACATACATTTGGAGTTAATGGAATTCTCATGTTACTATCATGACTCAGCATCAGTCCCCCCCAAGCATTGGGGTGATATGACACTATGTGAAGGAGCACCTGCATACAGCTGTAGACTCAGTGTGGTGATTGAGCATCAATCCCCCCCAAGCATTGGGGTGATATGACAGTATGTGAAGGAGCACCTGCATACAGCTGTAGACTCAGTGTGGTGATTGAGCATCAATCCCCCCCAAGCACAATCCCCCCAAGCATTGGGGTGATATGACAGTATGTGAAGGAGCACCTGCATACAGCTGTAGACTCAGTGTGGTGATTGAGCATCAGTCCCCCCCAAGCATTGGGATGATATGACGGTATGTGAGGGAGCACCAGCATACAGCTGTAAGACTCAATGTGGTGATTGAGCATCAGTCCCCCCCCCCCCCCACCAAGCATTGGGGTGATATGACGGTATCTGAGGGAGCACCGGCAAGGTCGTGCATAGTCCCGTGAACTTCCTCCCAATCACACATAAGAACTGTATATCGTATTGATATTTCCTCTATTAGACGCCAGGTCTCCAATACAAGCCAGGTCTCTTATACACACCAGGTCAACTGCTCTTCCGAAATTAGAAGAAAATACTGTGTGTTAAATATCGGATGTTTTGGGGGACGATATGACCTTCCAGGCCATAACCCTCACTGCTTAGATGATGACACTACAAGACTTATTGAAGGCATATCTTTTGCATACAAATGATAACATTTATGTATCTGTTGGGGATATTTTCAGGGGCAAACAGGTAATTTCCTCATTGAAAAAACTAATAATGAAAGTAGAATATAACATTATAAAAGTGTTTAAAAAACAGTAGTGATGATGTGCTAAATGGGCTATTTTGCCTCACTGTAATTGTGGATGTCCACTTGTCGTATCATTTTAAAAAACATCACAATAATAAACTGTACAAATGCTGGATGAATCTCCACATGGTTTAAAGGGGCACTGATCTAACGCAATTCCCGGGGACTGGTTGTTGCCTTTGTTATTGTTTTTTCCCAGTGAGTACCCGGATGTATAGCAGAAATCTAGACTAGTTCGCGACCTCTGCTGCGCCATTCGTAAGCGCATTAGTCACTTTTATGGATACCGGTAGTAATAAGGGCGTATGGTCACATTGATCAACAAAATGAAACACAGTTTTCGAGAAAATAAGGAAATGTAGGTATCTTTGTGCGTAGCATCGGTAATGGTGACGAAGTTTTGATAAGTCACTTGCTTGGTAATTTTGCGATTTTCGTTTACACTATTTTGACTTGCAACACAAAGCAAATATTTCATCTGAGCATTGCTTTTTTTATAGTGTGTATATTTTTTTTCTGTCAAAATGTGTAACATATTTATTAAACGTCTAAATATTCAGTTATTTTACAAAATGACTGAAAAACATTTCCATCTGTATTATTATGATAACGAATTCCAAACATTTTGATGTTTAATGTCATCACGAAGAGACTGAAAATGTTACGTTGAAAAGTACATTTCTATGTTGTTTGGCTTCTAATCCTACATAATAATCTGTTGTGATGTTTGTAGGCCCATTTGATCGTCTTAATCAATCTGAACAGATTTTTTAGTCAAAATGACTGAAATATTTACACATTTTATAAATTGCCTGAGAGAATCACATTTTACCAATTGACGGTAATATATACACGCTTACAAAGGAAAAGACCTGTGAAAACGACGTCTATCGCGCATTGAAGAATTTCCCAACCAAGACGTAGAGAAACAAGAACGAATCGGTTCAAATGAAGGAAAACAAAATGCAAATACCATAATTACAACCTACCAAATTTAAGTGTATAAATTTTAGGCAGGTTCCTTGTTCGAGGAATGTATCCGTGAATATCCACACAAAGGAATAATATCCCACTCGTCTGCAGCTATACAAAGAAACTTATTCGATGTCACGTGTCTCTGTAACAATCAAATATTCTAAAAGATATATATCGTTTCGGGATATTATAACCCGTGTTCATTTCTCAACTGATCACTTGGATTGTTTCAGGTGTTTCACATAGATGTCAAGTCTCAAGGGTCGGCTGAGAAAGGCCACGTGACAACTTTTTTCATAACGTCCACGGTTCCTAAAAAATCCATTGAGTGATAGATAACAATGATCAATCAATCAACGTATTATCAGTTAACCCTTTGAACAAAGTATGTTGTTTTTACATCGGCACGTCACGCCATGATATGAGTGTATTCCCTTTGTTTTAGTAAACCTGTAAACACTCACTTTTGACATATCCACTGTGCAAGATAACAGTGATTAATCAATCAACATATTTTCTGTTAATCCTTTGATGACTAGGAACGATCCGTTGATTTACAAAAAAAAGTAAATCAACTGATCATTCATCTCTTGCTGGGCTGCCACGTGCATATTACATAACACACATTTCACCTCACTTCAAACCTGGATTTAGATTGAATAATTACCCCAGACACAATAAATGCCAAATGGGAACCTTGTCAGGTAATCTAAGTGGTGCTACCACTAATTCTACTTGTAATAAATTCATTAACTGAGCATCAAGTGAATGACGACAAATACACAAGTGTAGGGTTATACGAGATAACGTGGATGACAACAAGGGAGTAGTAATCGTATTATCGACGCAATCCGGAATCCGAAAATGCTTTCACTGCATGGATACTTTTTTTAGTATCAAACTATAACCATCTGGGGTATTTCCAAATGATGACATCCGATGAGCTCTGCCGTTCTTTTTGTCTGTTTGTTTAGGCTGAAGAAATGAATTAACATGCGCCCTTTGTCGAAATCTTTATAGATCACAGTTAACCAATCAGTGTTTATGCAAAAATGCGTAAAACAAATATGCCAAATGGGAACCTTGTCAGGTAATCTAAGTGGTGCTACCACTAATTCTACTTGTAATAAATTCATTAACTGAGCATCAAGTGAATGACGACAAATACACAAGTGTAGGGTTATACGAGATAACGTGGATGACAACAAGGGAGTAGTAATCGTATTATCGACGCAATCCGGAATCCGAAAATGCTTTCACTGCATGGATACTTTTTTTAGTATCAAACTATAACCATCTGGGGTATTTCCAAATGATGACATCCGATGAGCTCTGCCGTTCTTTTTGTCTGTTTGTTTAGGCTGAAGAAATGAATTAACATGCGCCCTTTGTCGAAATCTTTATAGATCACAGTTAACCAATCAGTGTTTATGCAAAAATGCGTAAAACAAATATTGCCTCCAGCCTCCAAGTTTATTTAGCTGTCCTTGCAGACGGTAGCCCAGTCTCTGGTCACGCTCAGTTGCGTTGCGTATCATCCGGGTACTCACGGGGGGAAAAAACAATAACAAAGGCAACAACCGGTCCGGGGAATTGCGTTAGATCAGTGCCCCTTTAACAGTATCAAGCAAGTTACCTGATATGTCTTTTTGCATTCCTTTTCCTCCTGTTTTCATTTTCTGTTGAAACTGAAAATAAAAAAACTAATGTGTAAGACTTTTCAAAAGTTGATTTTAAACGACAAGGCAACTCACCTGTTCAAAAAGCATCCGGTTAAAATTTGATTTGTTATTTTCTCAATGCTTTTAGAAAGTGTCAGTTAATCAGACAAATCATTCAAAACTGTTCACATGATGCTGAGCCTCCAATAAATATGAAACTTATTTCTGAGCTACAAATTTGAATATATTTATATAAGTATTTTATCTTGGTGGTGTCCACGATTATTGGTACAAAGGAAATTCTTGTCCCAGTGATATCACAGAGTAGAAAATCAGATCATAGTTTCTGCTATAATATGATCTGATTAGTGATAACTTGAATCACTTAGGTATAAAATCCAGATAACCAGATACATTTTCTTGGTCATCTGATTCACTTTACAAAGTTTGTTTTCATCTTCCAACCAGAGAGGAATTTGTGAACACTTACAAATCACATTATAAATTTCAAATTAATTTGTTAATCCATCCTGGGGGTAGATATTTTGATGATGACTGGTGACAAAGATATAATTATTTTCAAGTCTGTTAACATTTCATTGACATGAGATATGTAAAAATTATTTTCACACTGTTGATATGTAAGCATGAAATAATAGTTAAATTCCTGTTGTGTTCATTGTAATTCCTGCTTTCTGATTAGCTAAAATTGGTCACATGTTGTTGCATTCATTTCCCAATGAATGTAAAAAATTAAGCCACGCCCATCAAAGTAGACTACTTTTATTACTACGGAATGTCGGGAATCCCAATATATTACAGTTGATGGAATTTCCTTTCTCCTCACATGTATTGTCATGCACAGGGCATTTAGCAAAATTCATGCATATTCATTGTCCAAACTACCCTTTGAGACGGCCAAGAAAGAATGAAACAGCAGAAGTGCAGGCTCACTCGCTTGTTTTTTATGCAAGCATGGGTTCCACAAATTCAATGTCTTCAGGTCATTCCTCACCTGCATTTTTCCAACTGTGTCTTCCCCTTCTCAGGGAACTAATGTTTGAATCTGGTGGTAACTGAACATGTCATTTGAAACAGCCGCCTTCTCACGGACATTTTTGTTCCGGTTTGTTACAGTCTGAGTGTTGCAGTTCTTCTCTCCTATTGCCTTAATTGACAGATCCTGGCTGGATGTTGCGTAAATAAAATCTAGTGAAGGTATTGTGTGAACCCCATTGGCATCCAGCTATGACTTTTCAATGAACACGGATGACCAGGACGTCAGACTCAGATTTCATTGCCAGAGCTAGAATCCATAGTAGGAGGAGTATCTTGTTCTTGCTGATAACTTGTTGCTATGGTAGTCTTAAGTCATCTAGCAACCGTAGCTTTAGTGATATCTTTATCTGAGTGGGTCTTGCACGAGATGAAGAGACATCCTCGATGTCAGCGATGTGGATCAGTGGCTGTCAGGTAGAACTTATAGGGCAAAGGAGGCGATCAGGATGATCCACTGTAGGTGCCAAGGCAGGAATAGTATAATGTCTGTGACCCAATGGACCAGTAGCTGTGGACTAATTCTTGGCTATAAAGTCGGGTAAGGACCGCAAGGTGATGGAGGTCCAGTTGGGAGCATGAATGAAAATGGAATAGTCGAGAGCGTGGAGTTCAGATACTTAAGCTGCGGTAGCCACGGCTAGAAAAAATGCTGCTTTACGGGATTTTTGGAGGAGAGTAGCGTTTCCAAGAGGTTCTTATGGAGCGGCTAATAGAGCAGACAGGACGACTGATAAATCGGACTGACAAAGACCGGAAGTTGATGGTTGAGACAGGTCGCAAAGAGGTCCAAATGCGGTGTGTCCTAAACAGAGGTTATCCAATTAAAGACGTCTGGGTGAAAGAGCCTACTCCATGGGTACGATACTCACTCTCCAGGATAAGCTGTCCGCTAGTGTGTTCAGTTTGCTTGGAATATGTCTCGCTTCCATCCGGCAGTTGAATGAGTCGGCCAAGGTAAATAGCTGAGTAGTTTCCGTCATCTGTTAACGGGACTTGGTTCCGCCCTGTCTCTGAATGTAGGCCACCACTGTTGTGTTGTCTGTGGCAATCAGAACGGAAGATTTGATAAGACGATTTTCCAAGTCTGTAGAGCATAATGGATTACTTTCATCTCTCTGCAGTTTATGTGTATAGCTGTTTCCGTCTCGGTCCATAAACGCTGAACTTGGAGGTCGTCCATGTGAGCTCTCCAACCTGATTCTGAGGCATCTGTGAACAGGTGTTGTTCGGGAGCTGGTAAGGTGAGAGGAATCCCTGACATGACAAGATCTCGTTGAGTCCACCAGATTAGATCTTGACGTAGGTGGAGAGGTATGAGTACCTGTGTATCCAAGATAGTAGGGAATTGATCCAATTCTGCAGTGGGCGTGATTATCATATCTTGTAAAGAGGACAGCATTCCCATTAGAGACATCCACCATCTGATCGATGTGCATCCAATTTTCGGGGTATGACAAAAGACGCCCTTCCATCGGGCCCTGAGAAGGCTGAATGGAGGAAGTCGTGTATCATAATCTGTAGACAAAGCCTGTTCGATTGGATCTGCGACGTTTGGAGGGGGAAGAAACAAGTCATCTTCTGTCCCACAACCTCCGGACTTGAAACCTCTATGGCCTGATCCACGGCCTTTGGAGTCTGAGTTAGGAAAAGAGTCTGTCGATGGGTTGTCATAACGCCCGGATGCCTTGTAGGATTCCTTTCCTGACGGGATGTACTTCTTATGAGGCAGTTTGTGAAAGGAGGAATCCCTGGCCAGTTCCCATGATCGTTTAGATCTGAGATCCATGCACCTTGACTGCCAAGTTGATTGTAGAGACTTGGAATCTTTCTGTCGTGTCTTGTCGGACTTCATCCAAGATCATGCCCAGTTTGTTCTTAAACAAAGTTGATGATGTAACAGGCTGTGACATAACTGTCTGTTTAGCATGCTTGGAGACGGCCCGAGATCTGACTTGAGACAGGAGTTGTTGTCGCTGAAGCCATAGAAGCTGGGAGGGAGTCCAAACTTGTGTGGATAACATGTCCCCTTGCATGCGGATGATCGCATCCAGCAAGCTGTAGATAAGTCCCACTTGTTCCGTTTGGATGGTTTCTCCCGGGACATAATCAAAGGACATTGGTAGAGGCGGCATCGCGTCACGAATTCCGGCGATGAACCAATTCAGGTAAGTGCCAATGTCCATAGAGTACATGTTGACGGTATATAGGTCCTTGACTCAGCCAGCCGGGAGAGAGAGTTTGGTGTTAGGGGTCGTTCATCTGGTCAAGGATCCTGGGGTATAACTTGGCCACAGTAGTGTACAGTGGATATGAGTTGTTTATGAAGAAGCATGGCATCCAACAGTGTGGGAGTCATGCGGTGACCGGCTCAATCTGGTAACGGTAGATGTGGCTTCAGGTCGGCCCGTGTGGTCCGTGCGGGAGCCGTACGGGATCTTCAGTGGCTTAGTTGGTCGGCTCTGAGGGGGTAAGGCGTGCTTGCCACTACCCTACTGTTCATCAGGAAGTCGTGATCTGGACGTGCTGGTTGTCGTTGCGGATGACTTAGGCTCAGTAGACTACTTTGGCCGGGGAAGACTTCTGGGCCTGCAATTTCTTCAGTTTGTCTTCTTCCAAAATGATGGCAGCTAGTCGGGTGTTGATCAGAGCTTTCATGGAGGCCTGCTGTAGGGCGAACAACTTTTCCAGGGCGCTGATCTGGAACCCCGAGGCTTGATCTGGTTGGGGTGTCAAAGGGGTAGATGGCATAGAGATGGTCTCCTTGGTGGAAGATAGGATTGAGTCCACCTTCTTCTTGGCAGCCTCCTTGTGTTTAGCCTTAACAATGGAGGCATTCGGCTTCATGAAGAAGGACTTGGAGAGGGGAGACCACAGGTATTATCTAAAGATATACAAATTTGATTATACAATTCAATTAACAGATGGATAATGGAATGAAAACCCAACTGGTATTATATAACAATTAATTGTCATGAAAATACCCGTAAAGTTGCTTAAATACAGGTCTTGATGAGTGATATTGGTCTGTAATTTGACACAACTGAATGATTTCCTTTCTTACACAAAGGCATAACATGCACTATTTTTCCATTCTTATTGACATGCATTTAAGTTAATGAAAGAATGAACCAAGAAACATAAAACAATACTCATGCTGTTTACTAATTTCTTTAATACGCTATTAATTATTCTGTCTGGACCAGGTAACAAACTATTTTTGAAGACATCTTATTATTTCAGATATTTCATTTTCTGTTAATTTATCAAAAATAAAAACATTCGGAAGAATGTCAGGGGCTTAGCAAATATGTTAATATTAAATAGAACTACATTTATATTTGTCATCCATTTCAAACTTCTGACGTCATCATGATACTCCAATCTACAATGGCTCTGAAAACGTCCCTTCCAGCTTGGATGACATCATTCCAGTGACTTCAAATCAGGATTCCTGGAGAACTTCTGTGAGACGACTGGGCTGCAACTACTTGTCCCAGAGTGTAAAGCCCTTTAAAGTCTTTAAAGGTTGAATATCACGCAAGTAGAAGTGAATGTGTTAGCAGTCTTCCACTGGCAATTTGACAGTAACTGTTCCATGGATTCTGAGTTCCAGGATGCTAGGCTGGTAAACAGTGCTCACATCGCGTGGTCTGTAAAAGGATCCAAACGCAGAAGTAGACAGATGTGCATGGCTGTAATGGTGGTGTCCACCAGCAAGCCTGCGTCAATGGCATCTGTGATATCTTTATGTGGATTTTTTTGTGGATAGGCCATTCTGTTGTTACTATTCTCTGGCTGAATAAGCTGTCTGCTAACATGATGGGCTTCCTTGGTATACAACAAGCTTCCATACTGCAGCTGATTGAGTCTTCCAAGGCAGCTTCATTAAAAATCAGGTCTTAGTTCTCGCTACCACAAAACAAAGATCTGAGACATCCCATTAAAGGTCACGTCAGGTATATAGTCATGACAATAGGGTTCTTCCAAATATTGGGGTTGCCAGACAGACAACATCAACTATCTTCCCAATCGCTTGTAATTCAGCTTTTTCGTAAAAAAGTCTTGAGATGAGATTAGTTAGTCACTGTCTTGTAAAACCCCAAGCTTAGCAGGCTACTCTGTGAAAATGGACATCACGTCACAATTGACCCAGTTTGCACTTGGAGTAATTATCATAAGAGTCTGCTGATTGTTGCAAAATAAATTTAGCATTATCTTACTGAAACATTGAAAATAAGTCTGTTCCTAATATCCCTGCTACAGGAAACTCATGCATAATTTCCAACTGTCACCTGGTAGTGTTTCTCAAGTTATGATCATCAATACCTTTGTGCTGTTCATGTTGCCGCTCAGCTTGTCTGTCAAACAGTTGTTTCGTTTCTGGCAAAAGCCACTTAGACCTGGTAAAACGTCCAGCGCTGTTCAGTGTGCGAAGGAGACTGGTACGAGTGTGACCTGTTGTCAAACATTCAAACAATAGATCTCACATAGGAATTATATCTTCTACATGGTCATTTCCATATCCACTAAACTTCAAATTAGTTCATACATTACATCCTAACTAAATAGCACAAAGGAAAAACTGATCTTCTTGTATCAACTAGGAAATGAGGCATTCTATGATAATACACTTTACATAACATACTTACAATAATACTAGTCAGTATGTTATCTCAACTTGCAACACAATAGCCAAACTTTTTGGAGTACTTGGAGTACACAAAGCCAACAAAGTCAACAAAGTCAACAAAGCTTGGACATTTACCAGGTGGATTTCTGATCGTTACATGTGACCTGTGAATCGCCAGGTCTCATCCTCTGCTTGATATCATATCAACAGGGTGGGAATAATGGTATTATCATAAGTTTTCCACATTTTCACTGCTATACTTACAATACCCGCTCAACTTTTAGACTTGAGACAGTAGCCCATGTAGGTTTACAATGTATCTTTTTTGACATATGATGTATGAACTGGTTAAGTGACTTCCTTCTATCAGCGTGATGGAAAAAATTGTAAGGACATTATATCTACATGGTATTATGTATTCACTATTTCATCTGATAATAAACTGTTATCTTTGGAGTCACCAAGCACCAATACTAAGTATGCTTATTGGGCAATTGTCAAAATCACAAAGTCCAATGAAATCATGTCTACTTAAGACAACATGGCAGTCTATATTCATTTCCAATATCCTCTGAGAATTAGTGGTAAATTTTAGTCCCTAAAAAACTTCCTCTTATTAATTATAACAAAAACCAAACACAAAGTGGAGCGAAGGGGAAATGCCATACTTTGAGTGTGGAATAGTCCTGAGGGGAAATATCCATGTGGGGCATTGTCCATGTGGGGAATGTCAGGACCAAAGGATATTGATGCAGGAACAACTGCCTTCCCACAAAATTATAGGAAATGAAAAGCCAGTTGGTAAGAGTACCATTTTAAGGTAGATAAACACATATCTAGATCAGTTTTTCTCAGGGTCAGAGACAGTGAGGGAAAAACTATCGTAGGTAGCACTTCAGAAGCAGCTGATTAATATGAGCAAGCAGTCTTAGCCTTCAGCTTTTGCTTGAAGTTCAAGAGATGCAATCAGCCTCCATGCTTAAAAAGCCTGCATTTCAAGAGGATGCCAAATAGTCTTCTGACATTTTCAGATAGTTGTGACAATGACAGTGCCATGAAGTCTCTAGAGGGAGTACACAGGCAGCGCTACTAATACCTTGAGGAAAGTGAAAACCAGGGTTGTGCTGGCCACCAAGGTGCTACCAGTCTCAGCCCTGAGATGGAAAAGTGTAAGTCTTGTGATTGAGTCTTGTGGCAAGAAGGTCATAGAGAGAACAATCCCAAGGCCACACTCATCTTAAGTGTCCCCATTTTTAATGACTTAAACTTTCCCCTTGATATGCCTTGCTATCAGGTGACCCTTGAACTGTCTGACACCAAACAAAGACGATACTAGCTGCATTGTCCAACTGCAATAGGTTCACCTTTTCAACTGAGAGAGAGGTAAACTGCCAGATTGACCTCTCAATTGCCAACACATTGATGTGGAAGGGATACACTACAGACTCCTAAAGCCCACTGGGTTGATAATGACTGAGAAATGTCTCAAGCCATTCTCAGCTGCCAATCTACCCAGAATCTACCCCCAGGGGGTATAATCGGGGAGTTCCTAGAATCTACCCAGGTGTAGATAATAATAAATTGTTAACGAATCAAAAAATTTAAAATGTTGTTTTATGCATGCAAAGAAGCCAATCTCACTCTCATATGTGAAGAGGGACAGACATGGTAGAGGAGGATGCAAGGGACAGTTCTGTTGCAGAATTCATGCTTCAAGTCATTGTATGAATCTGTCCCAATGCAGACCATCCAACTTTCCGGCTAGCTGAAGCTGAAACTGAAGTGCTTGTTTCACTAGTTTTGCCACTGTCAGTATCCTCAAAAAGGACTCTTTCTGACTAAAACTGTCCCAGCAGTACAGCTAGATTGGTGTATGTGATGAAATGGTAGTTGGCTGGAGCCGTAGTGAAATAGTATAAATCAAATTCTACACAGAGAAAAGTGTACTGATGCTCTCGGACAAGTTTTGATATCTTGGGATTTAGTACACGTCCCTATAGCACATAAACCCTGAACAAGGCACATATCTAAATTGTTTTGTTGGGATGTGTGAATCATCCAATCTACCCCCTTTTCCCAGAATCTACCCTTTTCCCAGAATCAACCCCAGGGATATACTCTGGGAGTTCCCAGAACTTACCTTGAGGTATAATCTCTAAAGGCAGGGTTCCACAACGGAATTTACTCAAAATACTTCTTTCATATCTATCAAGTGAAGCACTGACATACTTCTCAATATAAAAATCAGTTTTAAATTGTCTGTACATTCTTAGCTTATTACCATTTACTAAATTTCTATCATTCCATAATTGTTGCAGAATCAAATTCAGCTGAGGATATGTCAAAAACATTTGACTCAGTTAAAGCCCAGTTTAGAATAAGTAAAATTAAGTTTACATAAATGCCTATTCAGTACACATCTACTTTGTTTTAAAACATTCATATCCTGTTATTTAAATTGCCACACCAGTTCAAATATAAATACAGTCAAGTCTCGTTAATCCGACAATCTGCTTTATCCGACTCCGACACACGTAATTTGCAACGATTTACCGAAATCACTCATTAATCAGTCTTGTTAATCCGACACAGTGATCAGCATACTCCGTGGTCATTCCCCCCGCGAGTACACAGCATGTGTTTTGATGCCAGACAAGCCGGCTGGTAGCTGCATATTACAACGGCTGCAGAGATAAACTTGCTTAACAATAAACAATTAATGAACAATTAGTGTTTGTATTGTTATCTATCATATAGTTGTCTGATTTTTGATCACTAACGTTGATACTACTTAATTTTGTTTATCCAACATCCTCGTTAATCCGACATAATCATATGCAACCAATCATGTCGGATCAATGGGACTTGATTGTCATATAAAAACTCTGACTAAGACAATGACAATTGCTTTGTGAAATTTATTACGCCCATCTGACTATATTTGGAAGAATAAGAATGTAAATGGACAAATAATTAGATGCTTTTAATGATGTGATGTCTTCTCTAGTCAGAATATATTCTTTATACTGTGACACATGCCTCCCGAAACAAAGGTACTTACAGACACAAGTGCATACATATAATTGGTTTCAAAATGATTTTATATGCAATCAAAAGTAGTTAGGTCTATTCACAAAGCATATTAAAGCTTATTCAATAACATAAGTGTAAGACGTTTCCTCTCAAAATTCTCGAAACAAACTTTCGAACTTTCAAATTGATGATGACTAGAGTGAGTTAAAGTCATTGTTATTTGTAAGATATTTTTTATTAGTTTAAACAATATTTATTTCTTCTTTGCATGCATAAAACAACATTTTAAATTTTTTGATTCGTTAACAATTTATTATTATCTACACCTGGGTAGATTCTAGGAACTCCCCGATTATACCCCCTGGGGGTAGATTCTGGGTAGATTGGCACCTGAGAATGGCTTGAGACATTTCTCAGTCATTATCAACCCAGTGGGTTTTAGGAGTCTGTAGTGTATCCCTTCCACATCAATGTGTTGGCAATTGAGAGGTCAATCTGGCAGTTTACCTCTCTCTCAGTTGAAAAGGTGAACCTATTGCAGTTGGACAATGCAGCTAGCATGGTCTTTGTTTGGTGTCAGACAGTTCAAGGGTATACTCTGAAGTGGGGTAGATTTTGGCAGCTTACACTGGTCTCAATCCTCAAACCTCTGAAGAAGATAACTTGAGACCTCAACTGCCCCCTTGTCCAAGAAGAATTTCCCGAACTGCAGCATACCAGTGTCGGCAGTCAGTTTGACAAGTAGGGAAAGGAACTGAATCCATTATCTCTGACATGGACAAGACTCATCAAATCCATCGCTGCAACTCTACCCAGGATTGGCACTCACAGGGAAACCAAACTTTGACATTTGTGAATTGTGAACTTGAAAGGTTTTTGCTATTATGTAGCGAGTTGAGATAACTTACTGATTGGTACATTTTTCTGAATTTTAGCTATCCATATTTCCTTGTTAATAAGGGTGGCCCAGTCGTCTAAGGCGGCACGATTCGCTGTGCAGAGTTGCATCCCTTAGGCACGCCAGAAACCTATGATTGTGGATTCGAATCCTGGTTTGCCCCGATTATGTTTCTAGGTTTGTCAGCACCATACCCGTGCTCGTGGATTTCACTGAAGTGGTAAAGCTTTGAGAAAATAACAGTGTAAAAGCATGGTCACATTACAAAGGTCAAAACAAGACCAAACTGAAAAAATATGAAAAATGGACCATATGTACTGAATCCAACTACTTACTAAATATTCATTATATTTTGAACAAACATGGCTGACTAATGGTCACAAATAGGTTTTCACAGATGGCTGCCATGGTGGCCATATCAAAAATTGGATTTGGACTTCTTGAACAAATGTGGTGTGGCGGGAACAAGCAGCTCACAGATGATGACACTGATGTTGGACCAACAAAGGTTGAATGACATCACTTCCGGTTGAGCAAATACATATGCATTGCAACTGTAAAATAGAAAGTGACACGGCCATAGCTACATTGATAAGTAAGTTGCATGCACTTCCAGTTGAATGACTTCACTCCAGTTTGGGAAAACTCATGCCACAATACATGGATTTTAAACAGCTTAGTAGACCACAACCAAGATCAGAACCACTTTTTAAATACAAATTCCAATAGTCTAATAATAGTGTAATATTAACTATTCAAGTATTTAAACTGAAATCTAACTAGAAATAGTGTGACTACACAACCAAGTGCTAGAGTGTGAGACAGCTATAAAACAAGTGTTCACCCTTGAAGACAGGAAAGAAGTGAGGATTTTCCCGCCTTTGTGTACAATTAGCTATTATGTTATTAGATGTTATTACGCAAAATAAATTGTTCTGCATAGATGACAATAAAGAGGACTTCTGTTGAAAATCTGAAAATTAAGTTCTTGTGTGGTTGCAGCCAAAATATAGTAAACTGGAAATGTTGTAATAGAGGTAGAGGATTTTGTAAGCATTATGTTGGTTCAATATCGCTACTGGTGAAAGAACAGTTTGATAACTGCTGAGCAATGCTACCAGTTGTTTTTTTAACCACATGTGCAATTTTACTTGGCAATTTTATCGAAACAAGGCAGAGCATCTCTGAGGACAAATGCTTACTATTTTAAGATTACAACCAATGTGCTTTAGCATTTTTATTTGGGATATAATCATTCAAATAAATGTCAAAATTTCCTGATGTGTAAGTTATGAGAGTAGATTTGGGAAATGGTAATGTAAGTTTAGTGACATATGTATAAATACAGCAGAGATACAGTGGAAATAGGTATTTTGAGGAAAAAAACCTATTGTCATATTCTTTAGAAAGGCCTCTCAGAATCAGCCATAGAACAAAGTAATATTCCATTTGTTCCACAGGAGGACAATGCGGACTCCGACGTAAGCATTCACAAAATGCTGGTTTACAGATAACCACGATGATGATGTGATGGATATTCCTGGCCCTTGAGCTCATCGTAATGCCACTGAAAATGTCGGGCAGTTCATGAAGGACAATTTAATGTTGCAAAGTTGCAGCCTGAAAGTCTTGAGTGATGTAAGGACACGATCAGCAATCATGGACACGATGGTTGAATCTACCCATATCTACCATAGACAGTTTAATGACGAGTGTTTAATGACAAGTGCATCGACAAACAAGGTGCTCTCACTGACTATTAATATTGTCCTTGTGAAAGAATGGAGACATAAACAGCTTATCATATAAACAAAATGAAATATATAATGCATTTCTTTAAAAAACAATTCTGTCTGAAAAATTCCATATTTTTTTCACAACACTAGATAAGGATCAGACATGGAAAATTATGTTATTTAAAACAGTGTTATATGTTACATCAGTGCTGTTACCAACTTTATGTGGCAATCACAGTAAAATGTGAGGGATTTCCAAATGGACACAAGCTAAAATAGCCCGCAAATTATAGTATTGTGCATTTTAGTCAAAACATCATATGTATTACTGAATTTTACTACATGAGTTGGGTGTAACGCAGCTTCAAGAATATGCCAACTAGTTAGTTATACTAATTGCATAAGGACCCCCATTTTGAGACCAAGTCAATGTTGTCATGGATGGATGCATGGACAGTGTCCATTTTAATAACCCCGCTTAATGTGTTAATTAATTACAACTTACTAGTGATTTCATGTTATCCTGATGTCTAAATGGTTATACATAGGTTTGTTTTATGAGTTTAATTAAGCAACAATGACATTTCCTTCCATCATTTTATGCACTTTTCACTTTTTGAACATTTGTATATAACTTCCCTGTACCATGCTTGATTTCCCACGTGTTATTAATATTTTAATTTACCATGCTTTTTGATGTTGCCTTACCCCAGTCCACAGGTACAGCAAAACTACTTTGTGTCTGGTACTTTAATTCTTCACATGACTTCTTTTGCAAAATATATTATTCATTTTCGCAAAATAACTATTCATACAATTCTAATTTACATTTTACTTTTTATTTTATGAAATTCTACCACAGTGCTTTGGCTAATTTTGCCTACTTTAGCCACTCTGCATCTCAGCTAGCTACTACATTGTCAATAACCATATGCATATTGAAAGATATTTTCATGCATGACTTATTTGTTTACCCACCCACCTGACTTTTAACAAGTCTCATCTTCATGTCATCATTTATTACATTTCCTTACTATATTTTTATTATATAATTGCCTTTAATGTTCAATAAAATTGGGGACTGATTGCTGGTTTGGGCCTCAAAACATTCTCCTATAGGAGAAACTGTTTTGCCCTGCCCCCCCCCCCCCCCCCTCCCCCCCAATTTCTTTAAGTACCTGGCATTCTAAGGGTTAACAGGGACACATCCAGAGTGTTGTCACTTAGCCCTAGGGTCATTGGCAATCAGCCCCCTCAACTGCACAATCTTGTACATATGTCAATAAAAATATGATTCCATGTATTCATTGTTTTGTCATTGTTTGCACAAACGTAATGAACCAAGCAGTGGTGCAGTAAATCACTACTGATCATGTGATGAAGGTCAACCAAATTCAATTAGTCCTACTTGCTGTCAGCGGCTGTTTGTGTTGAGCGTGTGTGGTCTTCTGGTTTGATCTTTTGCTGATAGACTGTCGAAGAGATGAGCTAGATCTCAACCCATTTGAAGACAATGGGCATGTAGAGGGAACCAGAGACTGCTTTTCCTGGGGTGGAGCACTCTTTGGTCGTGGGAGGGGAAACTTTGGACAATACATATCTCTTGTATTGTCAGGATGTCCTGTTAAGGATTTGTCTATGCCCGGTAACTGGTTTTCACTGCAATGAATAATAGATATGAAAATATCATCATCAATATATAACATAAGAGATATGAGCTGTACATCTTATCTTGTTCTGACAGGACATCTCTACTGAGGAAGACAGATACAACTGGTGAAAAGAAAGAATATTAGGAATTTGTTTGTGTGCTGAAACCTACTGAATAATAGCCACATGCCAGATATCATAAAACAGAGACACAAGGCTCTGTAGCTCATTAGACATTTCATGATACTTCAATCTATGAACCTAAAGAAAACTTGGTGCAAAAGATTCCATGGAAAACATCATTTAGAACACTGATTATCATTGACACAAAGTTTAAGACCTGTGCCCAATGGTTCTTAAGAATAAATATTATTTGAACTATTGTAAAAATTGATTTAAAACATCAAAATTACTTCCACAATAAAAACACATTGATTTGAAAATGGGTTTGTGTATGATTCCTGCTATAAACTAAATTTCATATGAAGCTACAACACTGAAACAAATGACCATCATTTATTGCCACATGCACACACATCATAGTAATGAATGGAATGACAGGATATTCAGAAGTTTCCAAGCATGAATTCCGGATTTGATACTAGAGTCAACCTATTGTAGGTTTCAAATGCATTTCTTGATGTCCTTGGGTCTAAAATTTACAAAGGTAAAGCATTTAAATTTGTAAATTTCCAAATGTTTCCATACCTAAGAAATACCGTATTCGACGTAATAAGCGCCCAGGGCGCTCTCAAAATTAGAAATAGGGGGCTCTTATTAGAATATTATTTTGAGTTGAAAAATCGTAAATTTCGTTGTTTATGCTGACAGCCTGAAATGTTTATATACGACAGAAATATGTTTTCCATGATTTAATTGCCCATAATTAAGGGTGCATATAACATACGAGCACGTATTATACACAAATAAATAAGTCTTGTGTACGTAAACCACTTGGAAGGGGTGCTAATTGAGATTGATCACTAGCCAATATATTGGCAAATATCGCCGTGGGCGCTTATTAGAGCAGGGCGCTTATTACGTCGAATACGGTATGTATCATTTTGGGTATCAAGTCAATGTATACTTAACCGCAAAAGAAACATCACCATGGATAGATATATGAGAAACCTTATTTGTCCAAACACTGTAAACATATTAAATTGTAGACATATTAAAAAGATGATACTTGGCAAAACTGATCATCAAGGTTGGAATTATAGAGACAAATGTTCTCAAAGTGAAACACAACACTAGTCTCTGAGAAAATGGCATCACAAGTCAGTATCTCGTGTGTCCGCCATGTGCATTGATGACTGCCACGCAACATCGATACATGGAATGGATGAGGTGGTTGATGAAGGCCATAGGCACTTGAGCCCACACTCTGAGGAACGCCTGATGCAGTTCAGCTGCAGTTGTCGGCCTTGGTCAGACGTCATTCAGCCGTCTTTGAATTTCGTCCCACAGGTGCTCAATGGGATTTAAATCGGGACTGAGGGCAGGCCACTCCAGGGTTCTGATGCCATTCTGCTGGAGGAAGTCTCTTGTTGCTCTCGTAGCGTGGGCACCGACGTTATCATGCTGAAACTCGTGGTTGCGGTGATGTCAAAAATGAGGTATGGCGTGTGGTCTCAAGACTTGATCAACGTACCAAGCTGCCGTGACACCACTGCCTCTTCCTGGACCGATGTTCAGGAAGACCACAGGACCAATTCCACCCCACACCATGATGCTCGGACCATCTCACGAGTCTCTCTCAACAACACAAGCATCTGAAAAACGTTCCCCACAGTGTCGCCAGACTCTCTCTCTCTCTGCCATCTGCTGTTGGGATACAGTAACAGCTCTCGTCTGAAAAGAGGAATCTTCCCCACTGCTGGTGGAGCCAATGCTGGTGCCGTGTTGCCCACTGAATACGGTCCCGGCATTGACGTGGCGTCAGAATGGGTCCTCGGTGTGACAGTGGAGGTGTCTGCTCGTCAATCGTCGACACATGGTGTACGCACTAATGTGTCGCTGGTGTGTCACCATGGTCTGTCGAGCAGTTTCCACAGCAATAACAAAGCGATCTTGAAGATGCTATCACACAATCTGACGATCCTGACGCCGGGTGGTGACCCTTGGTCTTCCATTACGTGGTCGGTTATCTGTAGTGTTGGTGGTCTGGTACCATTGCTGGAGCCTGTATATAGTCCTTACATGGACTTGAAATGCATTGGCTACTTGCCGGGCGGTTTGTCCAGCTTGCAATTGTCCAAGGCCTTGGTGTAGCTGATTTCTTGTGAATCTTGGCATGTGGTAGCAATTCAATAACGAATGAATGTTATCCGATCTGGGTGGATTTGTTTAGGGCAAGAAATGGGGGAACGCGTGTGCATTTCAATTTGCACTGAACTCACGTGCATCGGGTAACCATGGCCGTTGCCGTGATGCGTTTGGGCGATCCGTTTTATTATAAAAAAATAATGTTAAATTTTAGAAACTTTGACAAAAATTACACAGATATTTAAATGACAACTTTTCATGCAATGTTACTTGGGGTGATGTTTCTTTTGCTTTTCAGTATATATAAACAGTTGATATATGTTCATACTACCGGTACTAAAATAAGATTATCATACATGTTTCCACCAGGTGAAATATTGACTTCACATTGCTTATTTCACATATGATGATGCTTTTATCATCAAGTCTTGTATGGCCTCATTAACCTTATAGCTCTTCAGGACTGGCTAAGCAAAACACAATTGTGCAAGCTGACACATTCCCATTAGGGCACCAGTCAATCTCATTAAAATCAGATCTTTGTTCTCACTACCGCTAAAGAAAGATCTGAGGACATCCCATTACGGGTCACGTCAGACCGACCTTGCGCGAACTTTGACCGACCAATGGAATGACCAATCAGAAGGCAGCTTTCTCGTGCTTTACGGCACAAATTTCAAATTGGCGACTACGCTTCGAAACATACGAGGGGTGTTCATTAAAGATTTCCCCTGACCCACTTCCAATGGACCTAGTGGAATGAAACTTGGCATAGGTATTAGTCTTTCTCCACATAGGAACCACCAAGAGTTACACACTTCTCCCATCGTTTTATGCAACTATGGATACCTCGCTTGTAAAGCCCTCATTTTGCGTCTCAAATCAGGACTTGACTTCAGAAATCAGTGTTTCATCATCTGTGAAACGTTTTCCCTTAAAAAAATGACTTCATGGTTGGAAAGAGGTGGAAGACAGATGGTGCAAGGTCAGGAGAGTAAGGAGGATGTGGAAGGATTTCATAGCCACAGGACTGCGCTTCTGTCTGGGCAACATGAGAGTTGTGTACTGGAGCATTGTCTTGCAGGAGACGGACACCCTTGGTCAGCATGCCACGCCTCTTAAGCTTGATAGGGTCCCGCAATTTCCGCAGCAGTGAAGCATAATAAGCTCCTGTAATTGTGGTACCCTTTGCCAAGAAATCCATTATCACTACTCCGTGCTGGTCCCAAAACACCGTGCGAATGACCTTGCCTGCAGAGGGTTTGACACGTGCCTTCTTTGGGGGTGGTGACTCCACATGATTCCATTGCATCGACTGAACTTTAGTCTCAGGATCATAGTGATGGACCCATGTTTCATCCTGTGTGATAAGTCTTTGGGCACATGTCCAAAAGATCCTTTGAGCAATTGACTCGTTCCTGCTTTTGGAAAGGTGTGAGCAACCTGGGAATCCATCGTGCAGACACCTTATGCATGTTCAAATTGTCATGGATGATTTTTTCCACAGACCCTACACTGATCTTGACATCTTGTGCTAACTGGTAAACAGTTATACGTCGGTCTGCCAAAATGGCGGTCTCCACTTGATGGATAGTGTCCTCATCAATGGCTGAATGGGGGCGACCAGGAATGGCAGCTGTTTCCACAGATGTCCGACCACACTTGAACTGGCGATGCCAGTGTTTAACAACGTCATATGATGGGGCATCTTCCCAATAAGTTGCTTTCATTTCATCGAAAGTTTCTTTTGGTGTGCGACCTTTCAAATATAAACACCTAATCACTGCTCGGTATTCTACTGGCTCCATTGTCACACCCTGCTCGATCATAACACCTGTAAAAGGGGAAAGATTAATAGTTCGGTGCTGCAAATTCAGACATAACCCATAGATACATGTATCATTACACATGTGAAATTTCAACCAAATATGATAACCCTAAGTGGTTTAGGGGAAATCTTTAATGAACACCCCTCGTATTTTAGCAAATTCTCGATTACAAATTTGAAACCTGAACAAAAAAAACATTCTGGAATGGCTAATAGATGGTCTAGATATTAAGGATTCAGTCGTTAAACCCGTAATTATCGTTCGGAATACCCCATGTTAAAGTTTTCGAGATTGCATGATTAGAAATCACATTCTGACTGTCACTTTCATAATCTGGTAAGCGACGAACTGATTGGTCGGATGAAAGGTCGTTCTGACGTGACCCCTAATGGGATGTCTTCAGATCTTTGTTTAGCAGCAGCAAGAACTAAGGTCTGATTTTAATGAGATTGGGCACCAGTTCAATCATTTCCCTTCACCAGATTGCAACCTCTTCAGATAATAGTGAGAGGGAGAGTGAAAGAGTTGATTGGGATCACACCTACGTCACAGCATTTGAAATATAAAAAGATGAAGATCTTGTACAGATATCTCTCTCCCCTCCCCAATGGGTGATTGGAAAATATAGTGAAAAACAAGACACCTCATAAGCACATCACAAATACATGCGCACACACACGTGCTCGGCCCACAATATGGTAAAGAGCTGTGCTAGCCTTGACATATTCATTGAAATCAAGCTTCAATCTAATCATACATAATTGTTCATCAGTTTTCAGTGCAAATATTTAACAAATGTAATCATGCGTAGAACGTAGATATGGTTCATGGTATGTATTTGACCAATTTAACAATAGAGAAGAATCTTCAAGATGAATAGATGCCATCTTTACTGCTATTTCTCAGTTATAT